CTATACAATTTTTTTTTCCTATGATATAAAACTCAAAAGTTGATTTTACATGATATTGCCCCTTTAATGTTTGTTTATTTACATGTAACATTTTAATTGTGAAGGCATTCCTCCAGTGAAGATGTGAATACTAGTCACAGTGCATTTGAAGTCTGAAGTACATGATATAAAACTCAAAAGTTGATTTTACATGATATTGCCCCTTTAATGTTTGTTTATTTACATGTAACATTTTAATTGTGAAGGCATTCCTCCAGTGAAGATGTGAATACTAGTCACAGTGCATTTGAAGTCTGAAGTACATGATATAAAACATGGTAAATGGTAGTGTGTAGTCATGCAAACACAAGTCCGTCTCATTTCACAGCCTTTTGATGCAGCCTACTCAGACTGCAAAGGGTGTGGCCTCCATGGGCCGTGGTCTAGGTGGGCTGCAGCCCCTGAATTGAGACACAGCTAATCTGTCAGACAACTGAAGCTTGGACAAAACTGGGTCCAACAATCTACATTGGGCTGGCTTCAAATCTTTGACTTCGGCTAGAGAGAAACATTGCTGTGGGACCTTTAAAAAGCAAAGAAACTCAGCAGAACAGAAGCCTTGTAAAGAGTGTAAAAGACAGGATGATCAGGGTTATTACTGCTGAAGGTGGCACCAAGAATATAAGGTGTAGTGTTTTTACACACTGATTTAGCATTTTGGTTATGATTTGGTAAATAAATAATGAACTGTGCTAATAAAATGTCTAATATTGATGTTTTTATTATGATCTGTGTAACATGTAGCAGTTTCAGCTGCTCACTCAGTGTTTCTCCTCCTCAGTACTCCAGATGCCTCGCTTTGTCCAGACCTTTCCAGTTTTCACAAGAGGACATACCAAAGATTCGAAAGAGGATCTATAAAGAGCTGTGTGAGTGTAAGCTCCGTGAAGAAGACTGAGCAGGTGTTTGTTGTGTTGGTGTACAGACTGAGCTGACCCCACTGCTGCCTGGAGGCACAAACTGAACAAATCCAACACGAGAGGATCAGTGTTTTTGTGTTTATTTATTCYACATTTATTGAAGAAAAAAACATGTCTGCAGACGTGAAGTTCACCAGAACAGAAGCCTTATTCAGTCTGACAGCCTTTCTTTACGTTCAGCTGTTTTAAATAGCTGTGTTTTATTTATATTGAACTTTTCAGTTTCATCAGTCGAGTAAAGAGACGTTTTAAATAAAAACAAACATTTTACAAAGATGACTTTTGTTGATGGTTTTTATTATAAACCCTGAACGTAGAGCAACAGATGGGACATCACTGTACACTTTGGAAAAAGTAGTCACCCCTATTGATAACTTGAGTTTTTTTTTTTTTTTTTTTTTTTTTTCATTTTAAGTAATAGTTACACAATTAAGCATCCCAACAGAATGATTATGCCACAAAATGTTATCACTATTTGGTAGGGTTGGGCATAATCGTATTGTGTGCAATTAATCGTCAGAAAAACAATCAATTACTTTTTGGCACTTGACAATACGATTGTCACCAGGCAGACTAACCGCTTGGTGCTTCTCTCTGATTCAAATATGACCAACATTTAAAAAGGTTGTGTAATTTATTTATCTATCAACACCATTTAAAGGTTGATGTATAGCCTGAAGTCTGTAATTTTGACACAATTTGGAACAGATTTTTACAAAGAGCCAATTTTCTCCTTATAAATTGGTCACGTGACCAGGATATAAGGGTGTCCAGGTACTCCAGGGGATTAATCATCAAATTAACCGTTATCGGCTAAATACCACAATTAATCGTGATTCTTTTTTTTTTTTGCCAATTTTGCCCAACCCTACCGCTTGGATTGTATTTTTAGAACCAGACATTCATCTTTGGTCTCCTCTAACCACAGCATCTTAACGTTTTGGAGAGTATCCAATGTGTCTGTTGGCAAATTTCAAACAGTCTGTGTTACATTTCTCCTAAATTCATGTCTTTTTTCCAGCCGTTCTTCCATGAATCTCATCTCTGCAGCTCACAGTGAGCCCATGGACAGATTCTCTCATCTCTGCAGGACATCTGCCCGGCTCCAGCAGGGTTCTGTTTGAATGCTGTGATGACATGATCTTTCCATTTTCTAATAATGGATTTATTGGGGCGGCACGGTGTCTGGTTGGTAGAGCTGTTGCCTCTCAGTGAGAAAGTTGCAGGATTGATTACCAGCTGTGGACCTTTCTGGGTAGAGTTAGCATGTTCTCTCTGTGCATGTGTGGGTTTTCTTTGGGTACAGTTTCCTTCGATAAACCAAATACGTATGTTAGGCTAATTGGTAACTCTAAATTGACCCTGAAGGAAAAAGTGAGTTAGGATGATGGATGGATGATCAAAGTAAAAATCTAATTAATTTCAGTACAGTCTGGAAAGGTTGGTTGAAGTTCTGCCTCATGTGGAGTTCAAGTATCTCTGGGTTTTGTTCACAGTGAAGGAAGAATGGAGCGTGAGACTGTCAGATGGATCGGTGCAGCTTCCGCAGGATTTTAGGCTCTTCACTGGTCTGGTGAAGAGGTAGCTGAGCTGTAAGGAGAAGCTCTCTGTTTACTGATCAGTTTACGTTCCTACACTCATCTATGGTCACAAACTTTAGGTAGTGACCGAAAGAATGAGATGGTGAAAACAGGTCTGAGTTTTCTCCACAGGGTAGCTGGACTCTCTTTAAGAGAGAGGGTGAGAAGTTCTGGGCCCGTATTTATCAAACTTCTTAGAGTTTTTAGACTTAAGTGTTGAAAATTTCTTAGATTTGCTCCTACTCTCAGACTTAAGTGTAAGTGCCAGTTATCAAAATTCTTAAGTCTAAGAGTCACTCGGTGCATTCATAATTACTCTGAAGAAAAGTTCAGACTGCTCCAGAGGACTCATAAGTGGTTCAGAGTTTCCACTAGGGGTCAGAGATGGACTGAAGACAGATCACAGCTGTCCTCCTCCCCATCTGAGTTATTCTCAGTTATAAGGTGGAAAACAAGTTTAATCAGAAATACAAAAGAAAGAAAAGTAAAAACAAAACACTGCGCATAATGTTGGACTAAAAGGCAGATATTTGTGTGTGGCATTTGGAGAAAATATTAAATATACTCAGCTGGTGAGTGCATGCGACCCCCCCCCCCCAAAAAAAAAAATTTAAAATTATGTTGGGATTGAACTTTTTGTTTATGACAGGGATGTCGCTAGGTTTTAAGGACAAGGGGGGCTACAGCCCCCCTAAAATAGGCCTAGTAGCACCACTGGTTTATTATAAGTTCTTAACGATCACGCGAGTGTGCGGTGTGTGCGTGTCCTTGTTTTTCCTACATCGTGGGGGGCCAGTTTTAAGGAAAATGCAGCCTCGTGGGGTCCGGGTGCTCCTTCTGGGGCCCAAAGCCTGGGCCCCACAACTTCAGAGGCTGATTTTGGGTGTCAGGGTTGGGTTTAGGACCAAGATGTGAATTGAGTTTAGGTTAGTTTTAGGGTCAGGTAGGTACCTGTGAGGTTAGTCTTAGGGTTGGTGGTCAGGGTTAGGATATAAACTTACCAAAAAATGAATGGAAGTCAATTGATGGGCCCCACAAGGATATAAAAACAAGTGTGTGTGTGAGTGAAGCAGMTGTTGTCTGTGGACAGTGGAGAAGAGGAGGAGGGAGCAGCTCAACATGACCTCAGGCTCTGAGAAATAAAGCTGCTGAGTTTTTGATTAAAAAAATCTGAGATCGTCTGTTCTTATGATGCAAATGAGGACATTTTATGTAATTTACAGACAATCAGTACAAGAAGACATTAGTGTGTTGAAAATGAACTTATCTTAGTATTTTCACAGTTTTATCTTGACATTTCTCCAACAATATTCTTGAACATGAAATCCGAGGCAGTGGTTGGTCCTTGCTGGTGTTGTTTCTAACAACATCATCCAGGATCAGCTRTGCAGCACAGCCAGGTGTCAAATCAGCTCTAAGACTGACACTTAAGAATTACTCCTACACTTTGCTTAAAGTAAGACTGAGATGCTTTATAGCTGACTTTTACTTTCAGCTTTTAACTAAGACATTTTTTTACACTTAAGTCCACACTTAGCAATTAAGAGGAATTGTAAGAAGTTTGATAAATACGGGCCCAGTTCTCCAGGAGAGACTCAGAGSAGAGCTGCTGCTCCGCCACATCGAGAGGAGCCAGTTGAGGGGGCTCATCTGGCAAGGACACTCCCTAGGGAGGTGTTCTGGGCATGAGAACCTGAGGAAGAGAGAACTGGGAACTCCTTGGAGCCCTCCCAGAAGAGGAGGAAAGATGTCGGGACCTCCCTGATCAAGCTGCTGCTAACGAGACCTGATGGATTTATTTCAAGTTGTAAGGCRAGAAAAAAGAAAGCAAACCAAAGGGGGGTGAATACATTTAAAACCAACTGTGGTTGAGTATGCATTTATTTAGTTTTGGACTGACGTTTGAGTAAAAACCCTAAATCAGTGGTTCCCAAACTTTTTATCTTCTGACCCACAAAATATCCATGACAAAAACTTGTGACCCCAAATATTACTGGTCTGAGTACACGAACTCCGTTAATAACCCTAAAAACACAGGCTTTTTGAGAATCTAAACAGCTTGTACACAAATTTAAATGCTTAATTTTACTTATTTTTTGTTTTTGTAATAATTATAGGAAAAATGTTACAGCAGCAATTATTTTATTACCCTTTAAATGGATTTTTGGAGATTATCCAAGGTGCTTCATGGCTCATAATTGGGTCCCAAGCCCAACTTTGGGAACCAAACTGCAGTGGTTCCCAAACTTTTCAGCTTTTGACCCACAAAATAACAGTAGCAGAGACCTGTGCCCCCAGCTATTTTTGGATGATAAACATTTGTATCAGGTCAACAAAACATGGGCATAGTAACAATATTTTTTATTCTACATTTATCCATTTTAAACATAGTAACCTTACTCATTTGTAACAACTAAGGCAAAAATGTAATTAATTCAGAAAATCTTTTCAGGACCCCACCTCGAAGTTTTGGGACCCCACTTTGGGTCCCGACCCCAACTTTGGGAAACGCTGCCCTAAATCATATATCAGGACAGGAATGTCTACTTGTAACCAGACAGCTGGAGGAAGCAGCACATCAGATGACAGGTGGACATTTAAGGCACACAGTTCTCAGACTGTAAGAAATCTGGTCAGACAACTACAGTGTTTTGTGATACATAACTGCACAGTGGCTATTTTTCTTAATTAGTAAACTAGATAAAGACATGTAAATGTCCATTGATCCCACAGCTCCTTGTGGAAACTTGTTTAAAAACATGAATAAGTTCAGTAAAAACGACGTTTTCACTCAGTGTTGCTTAAAGATGCAGCTCGCTTCCTTTGTTTCTGGAGCACAAACACACCCCGGTGTACCCCTCCACTCTGGTCCAGTTTCACCATCGTGGACTAACGGAAGTCTAATCATTGATCTGGAACCCCCACTCAATCTCTGGTTCATCGTCGAGGCGAATGACGAGGTAGGACACGAGCTGGAAGAGGTTCTGCCACAGGCCCAAGAAGAGATACATGTAGAAGTCGCTGACGTCCATTTGACAGTACATCCCTGAGAAATTTATGTCGCACACGCATTCAAAGCTGTTGACGTAGTTGATGCAGAAGCCTCCATTCATGCACGGCTCTGAGGCGCACTCATCCACATCCTTCTCACACCTGAGCGCAAAAAGATCAAAGAAAAACGGTTTTAGTTTTTGTTATTGGAAGCAAACAATTTGGATCACACGAAGGTGCTGTGTTGCTTTGTGCAACTCCAGTTCTACTGAAGTTGGGAGGTTGTGTAAAACATAAAAACAGAATACAATGATTAAATTTATTTCAACCTGTATTCAATTGAAAACAAGATTGGGTATAAAAGGAGCATCCTCGAAAGGCTCAACTGTTCACAAGCAAGGCTTGGGTGAGGTTCACCACTTTGTGAACAACTGTGTGAGTAAATAATCCAACAGTTCAATGGGCCTCATGCAAGAACCGTTCGTACGCACACATTTGTTCTTACGTTGTGCGTACGAGTGATTTAGGAGAATTTGTGGCATTCACCAATGTTTTCGTATTCTAAGATTTTTTTCAGATGCGAACAAAATTCACGAGTGGTCCAGACCTGTCGTGTATTTTACGAGCAGTCAGTCTGCTGTTGTCCAGACGGGTTTTCTTCACTAATAACTTTATATTTCATTAGTTTGAAGCTATTTTGAGTTGAAAATAAATCACACTCCATAATTATGTTGACAATAGGCTATTCTGCTTGAATTAGAGTTATAATCTTAAATGTAATAATTTAAACTAACAATATAAATTGTCCGGCGGGCTTGCCCTTGGTCCCTCCTGGCGTTGTCGGTGGCTGGGTGTGCGCTCTCGGCTGGATCACTCTTGCTGGGTTTCGGTAGCTTCTTTGGGCTGCCGGCTGGCTGTGGGGCTGGGGGTCGGGTCTTGGGGATCCGTGCGGCTCTGGGGGAGGGGGGGTCTGTTGGTCCTGGTTTCTGGCAGTCCTCCGGGCTCTATCTGTC